GGAGGGGCCTTAGAACAGGGGAGGTCAGAGCTGGGAGGGGCCTTAGAACAGGGGAGGTCACAGCTGGGAGGGGCCATAGACCAGGGGAGGTCAGAGCTGGGAGGGACCTTAGACCAGGGGAGGTCACAGCTGGGAGGGTCCTGAGAATAGGAGATGTCAGAGGTAGGAGGGGCCTTAGAGATCATCTGATCCAAAGTGCTTGTTTTAGGGGTAACTAAACATCCCCAAGGGGTTGGGTGACCCACTCAAGGTCCCCTACTAGTACCTGGCAAAGTTAGAACTTGAACGCAGGTCTTAGCGTGGCCCAGGCGCCTTCCCCCACCCCGAGCAGACCTCTGCAGTTACTGCTCTTGGGTGTGGCTGGGCTGTATCTAAGCTTAGGCAGCCCTGGGTCTGGCCTCAGTAAGACCTGAACTCAAATTCAGCCTCAGACACTAGCTGTGTGACTCTGGGCAGTTAGTTCACTTATCCCCATCTGCCTCAGTTTTCTCAGTTGTAAAATGGGGGTGATAATAGCACCCATCTCCTAGAGTTGTTGTGAGGGTCAAATGAGATATTTGTAAAAAGTGCTTAGCACAGCACTAGGCACACAGTAGGTGCTATATAAATACTTATTCCCTTTCTTTCCCCCTCCTTTCAATAGACCACACTGCCTCTGTAAGGCTCAGTTTCCCCATCTGTAAAATGAGGATGATAACCCCTGCTCTGTCCACCTCCCAGGGCTCCTGAGGGGTTTCAGTGAGAGCTTGTCTGGGAAAGCCTTTGCCAAGGGTGTGGTCGAAGCCAACGTGTGTGGTCAGCAGAACCACGGAGGGTCCCGAGGCCTTGAGGCCAGGCCCCTCATTTTACATGCAGGGAAATTGAGGCCAATGGAGGTGAACTGGCTTGCCCAAGGCAGGACCAGGACTTGAACCTAGGTCCCCTGGCTCCAGATCTTGACCTTTTCCCCAGAGGTTTAGTGACTTGTCTGTTCTTCTGGGCCAAGAGCAGAACTGGGGTGTGACACCCCCACAAACCTCAGGCCTCTCCCCCAGACCAGCACCTGGCTATCACCCTGCCCCTGGGGCCTCAGTTTTCCCCATCTCACCCATGCATACATGTATACCCACATGCTCAGGTGCACGCCGATGCACACCTATACACACCACGTACATGAATGCACACATATACATAGGTGCACACATACTTAGACACATTCACACAGATGCATGTAGAAACACATACACAGCACACATGCTTGTATACACACATGTATACCCACTGCACACACCCATTCAGGTGCACATAGATGCATGCATACCACACAGGTGCACACATCACACATATATGCACACTACACACCTGCATGTATACACACGTGTACTCACAGGCACACGTACCATACACACGTGACACACGTGCATGTATCACACAGGTGCATGCACACATCCACACACACACACACACACACACACACACACTTTGGCCTCAGCTCCAGGGGGAGGAGCCCGGGATGCCCCATGCCCCGATGGGAGGCACGTGCACTGAGCCCCGGCTGACCCCGCCGCCCACCTGACCCTGGGGATCAGGGTGGGGGCGGTCAGGCCCGTCTGGAAGGGCCCCAGCAGGGAGCAGGGAGCCAGATGGTCCTGGGGGCTGGGGGCATGCTCGCTGTCAGTCAGCCAGATTAATCTGGAGTTGGGTCAAGGCGGGGAGGGGGGTTGGGGTCAGAAACAGTTAGGCAGGAGACCCCAGGACAATGGGGGCCACGTGCCGTGGGGGGCAGCAGTCGCTCCCAGCACAATGGAGAGGCGGCCGATGCCAGCCGGGGCCAACTGTCGTGGGGGCCACCGGGGCCGCCTGCACGCTTTTCAAACACTTTGGGCTCCTGTTTACATTTGATCCAGCCAATCCCTGGGCAGGGGGGGATGGTCACCTGATGCCCCCTTTTCTGGGATCGCAAGCTTTAGCCTGGACCAAATAACTGAACTGGGGTTGCCATGACAACACTAATTATGGTCCCAAAAACTACAGTAGAGAGAGAGAGACAGAGAGAAGAAGGGAGGAGGAGAGAGAGAAGAGAGAGAGAGAGATAAAGAGAAGAAGGGAGTTAGAGAAGAGAAGAGAGAGAAAAAGGGAGAGAGAGGAGACAGAAAAAGGAGATGGAGACAGAAAAAGTAGAGAGAGAGAGACAGAAGGGAGAGGAGAAAGAGAAGAGAGGGAGAGATGGAGAGAGAGAAGAAGGGAGGGAGAGAGAGAGGAGAGAGGGAGGGAGAGAGAGAGAGAAAGGGGGGAGGGAGGGAGGAAGAGAAGGGAAGGGAAGAGAAGAGAATAGAAGAGAAGAGGAGAGAGAGGTAGGGAGAGACAGAGAAGAGGAGAGAGGGAGGGAGGGAGAGAGAAAGAGAGAAGAAAGGCAGAGATGTAGAGAGAAAAAGGGAGAGATGGGAGAGACAGAAAAACAAGAGATAGAGGGAGAGACAGAGAGAGAAGGGAGAGAAGAGAAAGAGGAGAGAGGAAGAGATGGAGAGAGATAGAGAGAAGAGGAAAGAGAGATAGAGAAAGAGACAGAGAAGAAAGAGAGACAGACACACAAATGCAGGAGGGAGAGAGAAAGAGGAGAAAGAAAGAGGGAGAGGAGAGACAGAAAGAAGAGAGGTGGGAAAGAGAAAGAAGGGAACGAGGTATACAGAGGAGGAGGAAGAGAGAGAGAGAGAGAAGACCGGGCAGCTATGTTGGAGAGGGGTGGCTAGCTGGGGCCCAACCCCACCCCCCACCTTCCCTGGGGGCCCTCGGCTTCCTCACTTGCCCTGCCCCCCTCCTGTCTCTCCCATCTCTCATCTCTCTCTCATCTCTCTCTCATCTCTCTCTCGTCTCTCTCTTCCCCTTGCTCGTCCCCCCAACCCCCGCCCTCTGTCCCTCTTTCCTCCTCCCCTTTCCCCTTCTTCTCTCCATTGGAGAGTCCCATAGTACCCACTGTTGAATAGTAATATTAATATCTATTATGTCATATTCATGACATCATAATACTAGAACTGTCTGCCCACCAGCTGAGTTTCTGATGTTTTAAGGTCTGTAGAGCACTTGACAAATATTATTTCGTGTGATCATCCCAGCGAACCTCTGAGGTTTGTGCTATTATTACAGATATATGATAATATGTATAAAGCCCTCAGCATGGTACCTGGCACATAGTAGGTGCTTAAGAAAGGCTTGCTCCCAACCCTTTCCCCTTCCCAGTTGAAGAAACTGAGGCAGCAGAGGTTAAGTGACTTGCCCAGGGTCATACACTAAGTGTCTGAGGCCTAATTTGAGCTCAGGTCTCCCGGACTCCAGGCTCTGCCCCACCTCACTGGCCCCTCACTTCCCAAAGTCCCCTGCCCACCACCCACACCCGCCTGTATGTGGCATATCAAGTATTTGGGCCTGAGATGTTGAGGTCAGTTATAGAGCCCATGGATTTGAGCTAGAAGGGGCCCCAGAGGCTTTGTCCAATGTCCCCATTTCACAGATGAGGAAATTCAGGCCCAGGTAACCTGGGTAGGGGGTAGCAGAGCCAGACTGGAACTCAGGATCTCAGGCTGCAGACCCAGTGCTTTCCCAGGGACTGCACTGCTCTGATTGAGCCCTCCGAGGCTTCTCCTTTTGGGGTCCCAGACCCCTTGGGCGGTCAGACTGGGGAAGCCCAGGAAACCTCAGATTTATGTTTGTAAATGCATAAAAGAAAATACACAGGATTCCTTCCAAAGGAAGCCAAGGATGTTGCACTATGGTGACAAAATAGATCTTTAAAAAAGAAGCCCATAGACCCCGGGTTAAGAAATCCCAGGATGTCAGATCTGAAAGTGACCCTAGAGGCCGCCATGATCAACCCTGTACCAGAAGAATTCTCTGCACGGCTTCTCCAGTGAGCGGGGGGATTTGGGGAAACCTGACTGTAATGGGAAGGAAACTGATCTGTAAATCACTTCCAATCCTGGTCCTGCTGCTGTGTGTGACCTTCACCTCTCTGGGCCTCAGTTTCCCCATCTGTTAAAATGAGGCAGTAGAATGAAATGGTTTCGTATTCTGTGTCCTAAGACCCCCTCCCAGTTCTGATATTCTGTGTTCTCTCTTTTTTTTTTTTTAAGGCAATTGGGGTTAAGTGACTTGCCCAGGGTCACACAGCTAGTAAGTGTCAAGTGTTTGGTCTGAGGCCGGAATTGAACTCAGGTCCTCCTGACTTCAGGGCCGGTGCTCTATCCACTGAGCCACCTAGCTGCCCCCATTCTGTGTTCTAAGATCCCTTCCAGTTCTGATATATCATAGCTGAGAGGTAACTTAGAATAGATATTGTCAGGGATTGTTATAATAATAGCCTGCATTTACATAGTGCTTAAAGGTTGGCAAAGCCCTGGACATATTTTATCGGGTTTGAGGCAGGTAGTGTTATTATCCCCATTTTACAGATGAGGAAACTGAGGCTGAGCAAGGTTCCATGACTTGCCCAGAGTCGCACAGCAAGTAAGTACCCAAGGCAGTATTCACACTGATGTCCCTGCCTCCACATAGAGCAGCCCTGGGCCAGAGCTCGGGTCTCCTATGGCCGGTCCTGGGCTTTCTGGGAGCACATCCCTGCAGACCCGTGCTCTGAGTCAGTGTCCGGTTTTTATTCCATACCATGCCACATCCTGGCAGTGTTTGGGGGTGACCCGGCAGATGCCCCCGTCACCCTGCCCACCCTGCCCGCCATCCCCACAGCCTTCCCACTCTCTGTTTTCTCGGCCCCCGGCAGGCTCCTGGCCTCGGACTCCTCCCAGGCGACCGACGATGATCTGCCCAGCGACCTGCAGTCTCTCTCCTGGCTGACGGCGGTGGACGTGCCCCGGCTGCAGCAGATGGCTAGCAGCCGAATGGACTTCAGCGGCCCCAATGCCGTGCTGCAGCAGACAGGTAGCCTGCTCTCCCGCAGGGCATCCCGGTGCCCTCTGCCGTGCCCTGGCCTCCTTCCCCCAAACCTGGTGACCCCAGCAACCGGACGGCTCCAAAGCTCCCAGATGCCCAGCATCCCCCCAGGAATAGAACTCCTGCAGGGGGACTTGTGGGGCTCTGTCATGATCAGCAAACATTTCCTGCACCCCTACTACGTGTGGCCATCTCTCTGCACCAGCCAGCTGCTCTGAGATCCAGAATTGTAGAATGTGAGGGCTCACGGGGTCCTTGGAGACCTGGCCCGCCCCCCTCTTTTACAGATGGCTTAGCAGGGCAGGTGACTCACCTAAGGTCACACAGCCGAGACAGGGGCAAAAGTGAGGGTTCAGATCAGGAACCCTGAACTTCCTAACTGCTCGTCCCTTTGCTAGGCTATGAACAGGGACAAAAGGCTCCCTCCCAACGCAAGGGCATCCTGATAAAAGCAGATGAAAGCGATGGTGACAGTTGGGGGTGTTGGGGTTCAGGCAGTGGTAGAGCTGGGGCTTGAGGGGATCAGAAGAACTAGTCCTGGCTCTGAAATCAGTGGTCCATCTTCTGGTGCATGTCCCTTCCACACTGTGGACCTCAGTTTCCTCTTCTATAAAATGGGTGAGTTTAATTAGCTGGCCCCTCAGGTCCCTTGGAACTCCATGTCAGGGGCCCTGAATGGAGGTTTATAGATTACCGAGGGGCTTGTGCATAGATTTCAGGGGCTCTGAGAAATTGGATGGGGAAAAAAAAATAACATCTTTATTGTGATCAACATTTAACGTTTCCTTCATTTATTTAAAAACATAATTCTGCAGAGGGTCCAGAGGCTTCTAACATGCCATCCAAGGGGGCCAGGACATCCTGCTCAGGATCTGTGACCCCAGTATCGTGACCTGTGTGACCTAGGGAAAATCACTGAACCTCCCAGGGCCTCAGCTGCTTGATCTGTGACCTCCAAGGTCCCCGTCCAGAAGGCTCTGGCCCTGGTCCTGTGCACGCGGACAGGGGATGGAACGTCAGGAGCACAGGCGTGGGGGTGGGAGTGTGCTTGGTGTCTGTGGCCGTGGAGAACCAGCGTGGCAGGAAGGGAAGGTTTGCCAGGGCTGAGGCAGACCGGGGACGGCCTTGAAGGTCAGGGTCCGGGGGGAGGTGCCGCCCAGGGTGGGGGGCAGAGCCGGAGGGGGAGACTGCTGGGTCAGCGCAGCCTGGCGGCTCGTGCCAGGAAAGGCCTTGGCTCCCAGACCCCGCGGGACGCATCTGCCTATGAGAACTCCCAGAGAGCCTGGGTAGATTTCACTCCCTCGCCGCTCCCACGTGGCACATGGGGCCCTCCCGCCAGTGGCCGGTTGTCTTTCTCTGCTTCACCCCTGCCCTAGGTCCCATGCCAGCCAGCGTGCTTGCAGCGGGTGCCCCGGGCACCATCGGCCACGTGCCCCCCCAGGGCATGCTGGGGCTCAGTAGCATCGGGTCCCATGGAGCCAGTGTAAGTGCAGCTGAGGAGGGCAGGGCAGGGAATGGGGTCCTGGCCTCCACCCTGACCCACAGTCTCTTCTTCCTCCTTTCACCCGCAGATGAGCCCGTACCCCATGGGGGGCCAGCCCTCCCCCAGCCTGCAGGACCAGCCCCAGCTCTACCCAGCCCCCTCACAGCCGCCATTCACTCTGGCCCAGGGTACACATCAGGTACAGGAAGGAGGCTCGGGGCCTCTGCAGGGGCCCCGGGGGAGCTTGTTCCTAAGAAGCAGCCCGCCAGATCCCAGGTCACTGCCCTTGTGTAAGGCTGCTGGTGGGTTAGGACCCCCCCTCCCACACTGGCAGCCGGGGGAGCAGAGAGGAGAGCCATCCTTCCCAGAGGGCCAAGGGGGAGCCGAGGCCGGACGGGGCAGAGCCCTGAACGCCCACTCAGCCTGCTCCCGGCTGATTCCCCTGCTTCCTCCGTCTGTCTGTGTCTCATTTTTCTTTAAGGCTCGGCTCTGGGGTCACCTCCTCCAGGAAGCCTCTCTTGACTGCCTGCCTGCTTGCCTGGGGCTTCCTCTCAGTAGTCTAGAAGCCCCTCGAGGGCAGGCACTGGTTTGGCTTTTTGTCTTTGCCTCCCCAGGTCCTGGCTGGTAACCGGCCCTTAATAAATGTCCTTTGGATTCTCTCTCTCTCTCTCTCTCTCTGTCTCTTTGATATTCCTTCCCTTTCTCTGTTTCTTCTCTGCCCCCACCCCCCCTTTCTGTCCTCCTCTCTGTCTTTCTCACTCCCTCCCTCCCTCTCTCCTATGATCAGTGCCCCCCTGCTGGAATGTACAGCGTCTCCTTTGGGGCGCAGCCTCCATTCCCCCAGCCCCGCCTCCCCGCACACTCGGCTCAGGACCTGCACCCCAAACACTACCCCAAGCCCATCTACTCCTATAGGTGAGTGCCCCCCCTGCTGTGGGGCCCCCTTCTCTCCTCTGCCCGTAGCCCCTCGGCCCCCAGAGAGCCCCCAGGGAGGTTGCTTGATTTGGGCCCCCCCAGCTCCCTGCGCTGCCCTCCCCCCCACAATAGTCTGGGGGGGGTATTCTCATCCAGGAGGCAGCGGGGCAGAGCCCAGGTGCATCCTGTATCTTTTGGCATTGGTGGTAGAGGACTGGAAATTACACTGGAGTCCAAAGACCTGAGTTCAAGTTCTGATTCTGACGTTTGACTGCCTGTGTGACCTTGGTTGAACCAGCCTCTCTGGGCCTCAGTTTCCTCTCTCATAAAAATGAGGGGGTTGAACTCGTGGAGTCCATGATCCTGGAAGAGGAGGGCAGGGTGGGGCCGGCTGTGGGGGGGGGACGCGGTTCTCATTAGAACTCTGTAGAAGGTAAGCCTTGGGAGGGCAGGCAGCACGAAGAGAGGTGCCAGGAAGTAGGGAGCCACAGCCAGTCGGGAGCCTCCCAGGCTGCCCAGTCCAACCCGTGACCGAGAAAGAAATCCCTCTAGCACTTTGCCCAAAGTGCTCCCCTGACCACGGCCGGCTGGGCCTGCAGCCCCCAGGGAACTAGCGCCTCTGACCCCGGAAAGGGGTGCAGGGGAAGCTGAGGGAGGGCGGCGTCCTGGAGGAAGGAAGGAGGAAGCATTCATGTGGCGCCTACTGTGTGCTCGGCATTGTGCCAAGCGCTTTTTTACAAGTGCTCTTCACAATCCTGTGAAGTACATGCTGTTATTTTTTGAGAAGATGAGGCAGAGGTGGAATGACTCACCCAGGGTCACACAGCTAGTAAAATGCCTGAGGCCGCCAAGAGTCACCTGGGTCGCCTAGCCAGGATGTGTCAGAGGCAGGATTTGAACCCAGGTCTTCCTGGCTTTGGGGCTGGCTCCCTCCAACCCCTCCTCACTGCAGACACTCCCTGGCTCCCCAGGAGGGGGAGGCGGGGAAGGACGAGGGACACTGCAGGCCCCAGCCTCAGACCAGAGGCCGTCTGACCGTGCGGGGCGTGTCCTCCTTCAGCTGCCTGATCGCCATGGCCTTGAAGAACAGCAAGACGGGCAGCCTCCCGGTCAGCGAGATCTACAGCTTCATGAAGGAACACTTTCCCTACTTCAGGGTGAGGAGCTGTCCAGCCTGGCTTCGGCCCCACCCACCCCCTCCACGCTGAGGTTTGGGGGGGACCGAGTCAGCAAGTGTTTGTGAAGCGCCCGCTATGCTCCCCGCACCGCGCTAAGTCGTGGGGGTGCAAGGAAAGGCCAGAACAAACCAGAAGCCCAGTTCCTGCCCTCGAGGAGCTGCTGGGCTAATGCAGGAGACAACACGCAGCCGCCTCACCTAGACGGGAGAAAGTGGGGAGAGTCCACCGAGGGAGGGCGCGAGCATTAAGGGGGACCGAGGAGGGTCCCGCGGAAGCCGGACGTTGGGCAGGGGCTTGCAGGGGGCCGGGGGTGAGCGGGCAGAGGAGGGGGCGCACCCTGGCACAGGGGAGGCCCGAGTCTGGTGGCCAGACTTGAGCTGCCGGAGGGAGGCTGGACCGGCTGGGGGAGACTGAGGCAGGCAGACCCCCGGTTCGGGAAGGCCATAGGTCTGCAGCCCTGGAAGGGAGGGGGTCCCCGCGGCAGGCTCTGAGCCTCGCCCCGCGCTCGCTTCCCCGCCAGACGGCGCCCGACGGCTGGAAGAACTCGGTGCGGCACAACCTGTCCTTGAACAAATGCTTCGAGAAGGTGGAGAACAAGACGGGGGGCTCCTCCCGCAAGGGCTGCCTGTGGGCCCTGAACCTGGCGCGCATCGACAAGATGGAGGAGGAGATGCACAAATGGAGGAGGAAGGACCTGGCCGCCATTCACCGCAGCATGGCCAACCCGGGTAGGGCCGCAGCCCGCCGCCCCAGCCTCGGTTTCCCCCTCCGTCGGAGGGCGGAGGACCGAAACCTCCGGGAGAGCAATGTTCATGCAGCGACCTTGTAACGTTTCCTTGTGTTTCCGTTTCCCAAGAACCTGCTTTCTCTCGCGGGTTAATTTCGGAGGGGACCCTGCAGGTTATCTGCTCCAAGGCCCTCGTTTTACCAGGGGGGAGGCTGAGGAGAAGGGGGCCAGGCAGAGAAGGGCCTTGTCCGAGGCCACCCGGCCGGCCCAGCCTGGAGCCGCGTGGGTCCGCGTGGGTCTTGCTCAGAGGCCCTGCTAGACCGGGCGCTGAGCCCTCGCTCTCTCTCCATCCCTTGCAGAAGAGCTGGACAAGCTGATCAGTGACCGGCCGGAGAGCTGCCGCCGCCTGGGGGAGCCCGGGGAGCCGGACGTCCCGGTGCTGGGCCGAGTGGTGGCTGCTGCGGCGGCTGCCCAGGGCCGGCTCGCCGCCTCCCGCCTCCCGCCCCAGCCCGTGATGACCCTCTCGCTGCAGGCCATCCCCCTGCAGCGCCAGCTGCAGCCTCGCGCGGGCCTGGCCCCCGGCTCCCCTGCGCCGGCCCAGACCCCTCCGCTGCACGCCCTGCCCGATGTGAGCTGCAGCCCCCTCCCCACCCACCCCGCTGTGAGCAGGGGCCCCGTGGACTTTCTGAGCCTCGTGGGCGACGTGAGCACCGAGGTGGATGCGCTGGACCCCAGCATCATGGACTTCGCCCTCCAGGGTGAGTGAGTCGGGGTGGGGGCTGGAGAATGGAGCGATGCTTGACCCAGAGAGGGGAGGGACCTCAGTGGTCACCTGGTCATGGGGTCCGAGGATCGCCTTTCATTCTGTGCTGAAGAAACTCAGGTCCAGAGAGGTTGAGTGACTGGCTCAAATTAATGCACGGCCGAGCTGGGATTAAAATCCAGGTCTTCTGACTACAATTCTGGGTCTAAGGATGTAGCTGTCCTCTCGCTGGAGAGCGGGTCCACCTTCCGTGGTCATTCGGCCTCCTTTGTGAAGTCGACCCAAGGCCACACAGACTGAGCGCTGAGGCATTAGTCATAAGGGGCATGGGACCAGGGCCGGCTGGTGAAGCCACATCAGCCCAAGGCCAGGGCCAAAGGGAGAATTCAGGGCACGATGCATGATGCCCCAGGCTCAGGGGCATCATCCCCAGGCAGGAGACAAGAGAGAGTGTTGTTTGAAGAGGCAGGGCGTCTTAGAACACAGAATGTCAGAACTGGGAGGGTTCTTAGTGACTGGGGGACCAGAAGCAGGTCACAGAGGCCCACGTTAGCGGTATCGGGCCACGGAGCACTGAAGATCTGGTTTATTTATACGGGGAGCAGCTGGGGCATATCTGACGTTCTCTACCTCTGACATTGGGACCAGCCCCGGCGCCCACGGTTCTGCTTCTCACCCCGCGGCTCCCCAGGGTTTGTGTAGGCTGGGGTCAGGCAGGGGCAGTGCAGGCTGCTGGACAGACTGTTGGGTCTGGAGACAGAAGACGGGTTTTAATCTTGAGTCTGCGACTTGTTAGTGGTGTGACCTTGGACAAGTCCCTTGTAATGAGGGGTGATGTCTAAGGTCCTGTATAGTCAATCCTAGGTCCTCTGAATGTAGGAGCCCTGCCCTGTTCTATAAGGAGATGACGGTGGTGCTGGGGGGTTGTCAGGTGTCCAGGGGAGAGTGATGAGGGTCACCCAGTGGTACCAAGTTACAGACCCAAGCTGCCCCAGATGGCTTTGGCCAAGCCCCGGTCAGTTCCCTCCTCTCTAGGCCTGGGAAGAAGGTCTCGCCCTTGTCTGCTGACCCTGCCCTGTGGCTCCACAGGGGAGCTAGGAGGGCACCTGGGATGACGTGGCTCTGCTTGCTCTGAAAGGGAACATCTGGGAGGACATGAAGGATGACAGCTTTAGCCTGGACACCCTCGGGGCCTTCAGCAACTCCCCCCTGCAGCTGTCGGACTGTGACCTGGGCACCTCGGGACTCACCCCCGTCTCCAGCGGCAGTGATCAGTCCTTCTCAGACTTACAGGTCACCAGCCTGTACACCACCTACGCGGCCTCAGGGGACAGTGCGTCCTCTTCCTCTGCCCAGTACCTGGGCACCCCAGGCAATAAGCCCATTGCCCTGCTCTGAGTGGACTTTGGCTCTTTGGCTTTGGCGGGGGTGGGGGGAGTCTGTCCTCGGAGGTGAAATGGGGGGAGCCTCTGGTGCTTAGGGGAAATGCGGGGTGGCCCCCATGAGCTCTGCTCTGCTGGAGCACACCAGCAGGGTCGCCGAGCCCAGGCATACCCCCACCCACCAATGGACCCCTCCTGCTGTCTGCATGGCCCTTAGGAAGGTGCGGAGCTGTTGTTGAGAGGGAAACAAACCCACTAGGCTTCTATACACCCATGGACCCTTTGCATAGAATGTTTCCTAAGTGTGTCCTGGACTATTAGTAACCACCGTCACGTGACTGGACAAACCGCTTTGTTTCCACCCTGGGTTAAACTGTTAGATAGATCTCTCTGCACAGACAATGCAGGGTTCCAAGGTCATTCCTGATCCCTGGCCTGACTCCATTCTAGGAAAAGTCCAGTCTGATTGTGGGACCCTGGCATCTCCAGCACCTTCATCATCCGGGGCTCCATCATCAGCCCCAGACTCTTCCCTTCCTGTGGACACCTTTAATTTATTCTTCTGAGAAGCCTGATGAGCCCTGGGTGAAACTGCCCCAGGAAGTCTTTGATGGATGGAGCCCAAGCCTGGGAGACCATTTGTGGGACGGTGGTGGGATGGAGCGTGGAGAATTCTGAAATGGATCTCCATTGGGAGTTGGCCCATTTCCTATCTTCCTTAGAGAAGATGAGACGTTTCCTAGATTTCCGTAGACTAGATCCCCTGGGCTGTGCTAGGCAGTATTACTCTACGTAAATTTATTTATATTTATTGCTACCAATCAAGACCACATCCCATGAGCCCAGCCCCTGGCTCCTTGAGTGACCGGCCCCCGAATTGCCTCTAACACAAATTATAGGTGAATCAAATCCCAAACTTATTTCTGTGTCCCCTATAACCTTGGCTTTTTTGAACCGTACTTTGCATACTGTGAAGCATCTCATTTTTTGTGAACCGTAGCCCACCCTTTAAAAACAAAAACCCAACTGTACAGTATTGATTCAGAGCACTTCCTGCCTGATGGGTCCAAGGGAAGGTCCTTCTGTCCTTCAAATTTTTAAAGATATTCAGTTAAAGGTTCATTGGCACGGGGCCAAGCAGCGGAGACTTTCTGTCAGATTTTAAGACTCGGACCCAACCACTGATATGTACAACTTTATAAATGTCAAAGACGTGGGTGGCTGATACATCAACCACCCGCCATGTTTTGTTTGCCTTGTGTCTTCGGTGATGTTATGGTTTCCCTCCCTGTTTTTCATGTAACCCATTCTGCAGAGAGTTTTGATCTCGGGGTCCCGAGTTGGAGGGAGTCAGGGGCAGTGAGAAGTGAAGAGGAATCATTGACCACAGGAGAAGTTGAAAGTGGAAGAAAAACAAAGGGATGAAAGCTTATCCTGTGGTCCAAAGTTGGCCAATGAGACGACGGTCCCTCTCCCTTCCTCCTCTTTCTCGTGGCTGGGCCATTTTGGAACTCCTCCTGGGTCGGGTTCATAAGGCAGCCGTGTGTCTGCTGGGAGTGATTTGGTCTGAGGCCTGCCTGGAGGCAGCAATTTGGAGGGTACCGCCTTTGGGGTCCTTTCTAGCTCTCCGGATGTCCAGAAAGTGGGCAGGGTGCCCCATGTTGCACAAGCCGTGTGAGACTCTTTCTGTGATATGGCCCAGATCACTGATGATATTTTAATTGTTGTTAATGATGAATGTTTCTTAGGGTAACACCAAGCTTCTGTAAACATAGTGTAATAGAATCTTTTTCAATAAAACCAGAAAAAAAATGGCAAATTGGTTGTTCAAGAGTGTAAATAGAAACGGATATTCATTGGCCAGACATCTATAAGGGCAGTGACAAAGTGATTTGTCAGGTCAACGAGCAAATTAAGCACCTACTGTGTGCCAGGCCTTGTGCTAAGCCGTGGACCAAAAAGTAGGTAAATGGTGACCTCCAGAAGAGGGTGGCCAAGACCACCTCAAGGGAAGGGCCTCAAAGCTGGGCCACATGAAGTTTGGTTGAAGGAATTGGGGGTGCTCAGCCTGGAGAAAATTTAAGGGAGGATGTGATCTCTGTCTTTAAGTATTCACAAAGCCCTTGTGGAAGAAAAAAATCGGCTTTTTCTGCATGGCCCTGGAGGGGAGACGTAGCTAGCAGCCATGGGTGGATGTTGCAGATTTAGGGCTGAAAAGGAAAAATTTCAAAACCAAGATCTCTAGCGTAGTAGGATAAATTTATAAATAAAATAAAAAATTGGGGCAAGCTAGGCTGCACAGTGAATACAGCACCGGCCCTGGAGTCAGGAGGACCCGAGCGCAAATCCGGTCTCAGACACTTCACACTTACTACCTGTGTGACCCTGGGCAAGTCACTTAACCCCATTGCCTAGCCCAAAAAAAACGTATTTTTAAAAATTTATAAATAAAAGGATAATGCCTACCACTTAGTGGTAGCTACTACTACTACGAGCTAGCATCTATATAGCACTTTTAAGGTTTACAAAGCACTTTAAAAGTACTATTTCATTAGATCATCACAACTCTGGGAAGTTGGTGCTGTTATTCCCATTTAGCAGATGAGGAAATTGAGGCAGAGAGGAAGTGACCTGCCCAGGGTCACACAGCTAGTGTCTGAGGCCACATTCCAACCCAGGTCTTCCTCTGGGTCCAGCATTTTGTGTACTGGGGCACCACCTAGCTGCCTCAATCCTAGAGCTTAAGGTCACCTCATTGGTGGCTCTAAAGGTATATTACTTTTTTCTGCGACAGCTTTGGAGAAGGAAAGGCCTAACCTTAGGAGTCACCCTTCAAACTTTAAGGATCTTTCCAAAATGTGCATTTCAAGATGGCAGACGAGTTCCGCTTTCCTGGGTGACATCATTGGCTCGCCAGTGTCAGCCAAGGTGCTGATTACAGCGTTTACTCTCAGGGATTTGCCACCCCCATGGGATCCTCCCAGCCTTTCCGTTTGTCGCTGCTTCCCACACGCTTACAAAGACTCTCAATTGTCCCCCAGAACCAAAGGTTGAGCTGCCGCTGACCTTGGGCATCATCTTGTCCATCTTCATTTGAAACACGAGGACACAGGCCCAGAGTGTCCAAGGTCACGCAGGTGCTAGATAAGGAGGGAGGATTAGAACCCCGGTCCTCCAGCTACAAACAGCATTTTCCTCGGCAGGTAGAATTAACACGTCCAGGGTCACCCAGATGGCTAGTGGTGCCTCTGAGACCACAGCTGCAAGTCTTCTGACCAATACTCTTGAATGCCCAATGGTTTGTACTCACCCAGACCCAAATTCCTGGTGAAGAAAACCTCATCTGCTCTACCTAAGAAAGACTGTAATCATCAACAATCACTTGGAGAAACACTCCTGATCTAAACCTGGCTCTGTGCCCATTCCCCGATGTTAGAGTGGATACTGGATGCTGCACCAGGACATTCCTGGGTGGCGTGACTTTCTCCTAAAGGGAGGGCACAGGCATAACATGGAAGAAGACAGGGAGGGTGCCGGCCCCTCCTGGTGCCCAAGCACCCGGCACGCAGGTTACTAAATGCCAATTGATTTTTCCTCAGAGGCCCAGGATGCTACCTTGTCCAGGAAGCCTCTCATCCACCTCCTGGCGGGAGACGTACTCGCTCCCTCTGAATTCTCATATGGCTCATACCTCTCACCTTTATTTCTATTCTAGGGATGCCCATGTTTATCTTCCTTACCTGACTATAAGCGCCTTGAGGCCAGGCCCAGCACAGTGCCATGCATAGAACAGTCATGTAAGAAAGGCTTGGGAAATGAATGAATGAATGAATGAATGAGTCTACCCCAAGTGTGGATGGGAGACATGTAAGGAACAGCACAGACAACTGTCTTTTATCCAGCACAGAATGAGGAGCCCAAGTCCAAAGACACACATCTGAAAAACATGGTCAATTTATTGGAAGCCTCCCCGCCAGCTCTCTCTCGTCCACACCGCCCCTCAGAGGACCAGCGCGACATTCTGTCTGAGGCCCAGGGTGCACATGTACACATTCAAAAGCACTCATTTCCCAAAGCCCCCACGCCCCCCATCCTCTGAGTGATAAATACACAGCAGTTATTTGGGAACTTTCTCCCCCATTTGTTCTCTTGGGCTTTCACAGGCTGACGGCTATGCCTCAGTCCTTGCTTCTGGCCAGTACTTGGGATAAATCAGATTAGGTCGTTTCATGACCCTGGCTTATGTCCCTGATAAACGCTGCCCAGCAAGATCCATGGTGACAGCAAGTCCTTAACTCACTGCCAGGCCCCCTGGATCATCTAAGGGAAGCTAAGCTCTGGATCCCACAGGCCAGGGAGGCCCAGAGCCCAGGCTCCATCCTCCTCCTCCAGGGGCACCTTGGCCAATCAGAACAGCCATGTTCCCCCAAACCGCCTGGGCTTTAGGTATTACTATTCTGTGTCGGCTGAGCAGCACGTGGTGGGCACATAGCCCACCAGCAAGAAGGCACTGATGGGGTAGGGAAGGCGGCTTAGCAGCAGGTTCCTCTGGGGATGAGTCAGGGGGTCACAGTAGCGATGCCAACTAATCATGGCAGATGTTAGATAAGGAGCGTGTCTCCCCTCCTCCCAACGCTCCAGTCCCGCAGGCAAGTCAGTCCCTGAGGGAGCAGCAGGTAGCTTGGGACCGAGCCACTCAGAGATGAAGCAAAAAGTGTCTGTGCTTTTCTTAGAGAAGTTGGCGAGCAGCCCCAGGGGAAGCACCTGGCAGCCTTGCTCCCCTCCCCACAAAGGGGATCTTGGAGAACGCAAAGCCCCCAGAGCCAGGATCATACTTCATTTCTCCTAAAAAAAAATCACTGCCCTATATACTAAGAATATTTCCCATTAATGTCCCCAGTGATTTCTCGTTTGTTGTTCTGAAATTTTTTTTCCTCTTCATTTAGAAAAATGAAAAAAAACGTCACCCTGATCCCCTGTGAGCAGGCATGCAGCCAGCCAGGCTAGACCTGCTTTCCCTCCGGCCCCCTTTGGATCTGGGTCCCCAAGTCCGTCCCCTTTCCTCAGCCATGTAGGATCCTTAATTAGGAGCTGGACTCATAATATAAAAAGAGTCTGTGGAGGGGTGTCAGATGCCCCTGGAAGGCCTGGGGCCCGCAGGGCCATGCAGCAAAGATGCCTCGAGTCAAAACAAACCCACGACTGCCCAGCGTGCAGGAGGGCGGACATCTCTGCATGAAAACGCCATACCGATGCCCTTTATTTCAAGGCTGAAGGAGCTGCCTTCTCTTTTAGCCCCGCAGAGACACCAGGGGAAACGCACCAAACCTTCATGGGGGGCTCTGAGTGGTGGCCAGCAGCCTCGGCTGGAGGCCTCCAGGCCACTGGTGCGTCCCCTCCAGGGTAGGACTGTGTCCAGCCCCACGCGTCCCCCGGTCAGGTGGAGGCTGGGCTCTCCATGGTGGCCAGGAGATGGGCAATCTGGGCCCTGTCCGCAGGGCTGATGTGCTGCGTCATGTGGATCACGCAGTCCACGGCCACCTCAGGGTTGTCCTGAACCAGGCTGAAGGAAACAAACAAGAGGAGGATTGGGAAGGTGGGGCTGACCACCCTGGCTCAGAGAACCCCCGCCCCCACCTGGGCCTCGTCTACAGGGTGGCCCGAGCTTCAGCGAGATGAGCAACAGATCAGGGGTTGGGAAGACCACCGATACCCTGCGACAGCTGGATAGGGGCCCAAGTGGCCGCCATGGCAGCTAGGCTGTTTACGTCAGGAAGGCTCTGGTCATCTGCACTTTAGCCCTAGGGGGGTGGGGTGTGCAGGAAGGAAGAGGAGGAGGAGGAGGGGGAGGAGGGGAGGAAGAGAGGAGGAAGAGGAGGGGGAGGAGGG